CTGTAATATGTTTTCTATTCTAGCAAATGAGACCAAGAAAACGAGAATACAACCATAAATACTATAGGAAAATACACCTCAAATTCGGCATTTTAATCCAAAAATACAGTCGGAGTTTTTTTTCTCTCTCATTATGTGCTGCGTGCTGCAGGATTTGTTTTTATACAGTGCACACTGACCACACAGACCCATTCTCTCACATGTGTGCTTACCAGCTTTCTCCTGCTTGATTTGAAGCCGCTAGAATTATTGAGTCAAAGGGTTAAAAAACAAAGAAAGGAAGTAACCCCGGAAAAGGACTCGGTACCTGAAGTTTTTATGGAATGAGATTCCCCTTCCAAACAATAGTAACTCCTCCATCCTCTCCTGTCTTCCATACACTAAGAAAAATCTTCAATAAAGGTAAGTGTCATGTTATTATTGTTATATTCTTCATGTCTTATTGTTTTCTGTGTAGGTAAATGTATATTTCATGTAAAATACTTATTTTTTTTAATACATTTGGGTGTCTGGAACGGATTAATTTGATTTACATTATTTCTTATCAGATATCATCAAATCCATACTCTCTGGAACGGATTAATTATAATAACCGGGGTCTCCTGTACTGGAATAAGATACTGTATTTTAAATTTTGAAATTGCATTCACATATTGCACTGAGTGGATTTATTTATTTATTTATTTATTTATTTAAACATGATACAGAGAAGTACAAAGGAATACAGTTATTAAAGTGCAACATGCCAAAGCCCCTTGTATGCAGAGCATTATGGGCAGGCTTAAAATTAACTTAAGATTAACCAAGCAATGATATATTCAGTGGTAAAAACATTATTGTAAACAGATAACAATTTAGCACAAATGAGTATTACAAGGACAGGTCATATGGTCATTTACTGTGTTGCTGTGCATTCAATAGAATGGAGTATTCTGTTAGGTAATGTACTTAAAAAATAACAAAGATTGATTGAGTCACAGGTTAGACATTTATGAGATACAATAATAAGAAACATTTATGAGATACAATTTATGAGATACAATTATTCAGTATTTATTTAGCTGTGGGTGAGTAAGTGATTTTTGAGAAGAGACTTGAATTTATAAACAGACAGTGTTTCTTTTATATTCACATGTAATGAATTCCAGATTTTAGGGCCTTTTATGTGCATTGAGTTTTTGCATAGCGTGAGGTGGACACGAGGAACATCAAAGAGTGATCTGTGCCTTGTGTTATGATCATGTGTTCTGTTGAGGTTGGTAAGGAGACGTTTGAGGGGAGGGTTTATATCAGAGTTAAGTGTTCTATGTATGTAGTGGGTGCAGTAAAAAGTATGGATGTTTTGTATGGTGAGTAGGTTTAGAGTTTTGAATATTGGTAGAGTGTGCTGCCTGTAGTGGGAATTTGTTATCATTCTGACTGCAGCCTTTTGTTGGGTAATTAATGGTCTGAGATGGTTTATTGTTGTTGAGCCCCATGCACAAATTCCATAGGTGAGATAAGGGTAAATAAGTGAGTGATATAGGGCCAGGAGGGCTGACTGTGGAACATAGTACCATATCTTCGATAGTATGCCTACGGTCTTGGAATTTTTTTTGGAAATTTGTTGTATGTGTGTTTGAAATTTGAGTCTATTATCAAGGTGGATTCCTAAGAATTTTCCCTCTGTGAGTTTCGTGATAGGTGATCTGTTTATCATTATGTTAAGAGGGACGTCTGTAGCTCTGTTACCAAACTGAATGAAGTAGGTTTTGTCAATGTTTAGAGTAAGTTTGTTAGTCCTCATCCAGGTAGATATTTTCTGTAATTCGGTATTTACAGTATTGGCTAGCGTGACTGGGCTCGGGTGAGAGAAGACGTATGTAGTGTTATCCGCAAATAGTGTGGGTTTGAGTAGTTGTGATGCATTTGGTAGGTCATTTATGTATATGAGAAAGAGAAGAGGGCCTAGGACACTTCCCTGTGGGACTCCAACTGTAATTGGCTGTGCGGAAGAGTTTGCCCCGTTTGTGTACACATATTGGCTTATGTTGCTGAGGTAAGACTTTAGGTAGTTGAGGGAGTGCTCTCTTTTACCATAGTGTGACAATTTTATATGGAGTAAGTCATGGTCAACTGTATCAAATGCTTTACGTAAGTCAATGAAGATCCCCAGTGGGACTTCTTTTTTCTCTATTGCAGTGTATATGTGTTCTAGCATGTGTATAATAGCATCATTAGTATTTTTATTAGGCCTGAACCCAAATTGACAGGGGTTGAGTATGTTGTGGGAGATGAGGTAGGAATAGATTCGCTTATGAATTAATTTTTCGAAGATTTTAGAGAGAGGGTGTAAGTTGGATATTGGCCTATAGTTATTCAAGTCTGTTTGGTCTCCTCCTTTATGGATCAGGGTAACCCTTGCTATTTTGAGAACTGTAGGGAAGGTAGAGGATTCTATGGATTTGTTAAAGAGTGTTGCAATGATTGGTGATAGCACTTGTGATGCTTTTTTGTATATAAAGGGTGGCAAGGTATTTAAATCTCTTGTCTTGTTTTTTAGTGTGTTGATAACAAGGGAGACTTCAGTAGGGTTAGTCGGAGCTAGGAACAGTGTGTTCGGGTAGTTGCCAGTGAGGTAGTCATTGGGTGGGGTATCTGAGCTTGGGATTTTATTGGCAAGGTTTTTTCCTATAGTGGAGAAGAAATTTTTGAGTCTGTTTGCTGTTTCAGTTGGTGGGAGTTGGGGTTCATCTGGTTTTATTAATTCAATTTTGCTATTTCGTGATATCTTTTTTGTTCCTAGAATTTCTGATAGGGTTTTCCAGGTCTTTTTTATATCACCTCGTAAGTTGGATAATCTGTTCTCATAATACAATTTTTTAGCCCTTCTTATCAGGCTGGTTAGGATTGACGAGTAACGTTTTGTTTGGTCTCTGGTTATGTGACCTATTCTGTACTGTTTTTCGTATAGGTGCTTTGTATTTATGGATTTGAGGATGCTGGGTGTTAGCCAGGGACTGTTTAGTCTCTTAGCTGTCATCTGTCATCTAATTAATTACTTGATGAGACTGCAATAATACTATATTATATGACTCAAATATATAAATAATATAACGTTACCTAGTTGATATACAGTAGACCGTTATATTACATGGTAGTTATGTTCCTGAAAATGCCTTGCTAGGTAAAACCGTGTTAGATAAACTGAAGAAGTTATGGGGAAAAATAGGGTTACGTTCCTAAGAACCCCCCCAAAAAGCCAAATAACTTTTTTTTAGACCAACAGATCTAACAAAAATAAAAGTGAATATGTAATTGTAGTTCATTGTCATGATATATTATGTTTTTAATGCTTAAGACTACAAATGGAATAGAAATAATAGTATTTCTTATCTTGAATTGTGGTTGCTAGTGTATGTCAGTGATTGTGAAGACAGTGGAGATGCATGGTTTGGCCCTACTTGGGGGAGATGGATGGTTGTTGGTTGTCGGCAGAAGTGGATGGTAGAGGTTCTGGTACTAAAGTCGATGGTTGTATTGGAGTGTGCATAAATTATGTAATGGATCTCTGGGCTCTTTTACCTTGCACTACATTATACAGCTGACTGTAAGGCATCATCAGATGGTCTAGACCCCGTTTCAAAGCACTGCTTCTAGATTTGTCAGGGTCCTTTTCAGTGAAAAAATCTGATAGTTTAGCAGCAACATGGAACTGCTCACATAACTACTGCAATGTTAACTTTTTCTTCAGGCTCTTCTTCATCTTCTGTTATGTGGCTCCCTTGTATCTGTGCATGGAGCTCTGCCAAGATTTCCTCTGGACTCCTGTCTTCATCATCGTCATCATCTTCTTCTTCTAAGAGCTCATTCACATCTTCATTCATATCTTCAAAACCATCACCTGGTACTTTCCGTGCCAACTAAACAATTTCCTGAACCTGACTTTCAAGCAAGGTAAAACCAGTGAAAGAACTAAATGCAGATCATAACTTTCCCCAGCCTGCATTTAATGTTGATTGGGTAACTTTATTCCATGCACTTCTAGTATAGCTGATAGCATATGCAGTGTTAAATTTATTCCAGAAACTTGGTACTGCCAGGCTGGAGTCAGTCCATTGATGCAACTAGTTTTTTCATAACTTATTTTGTGTAGTTACACTTGAATAACTTGATAATTCCCAGATCCAGTGGTTGTATTAAAGGTGTTGTATTTGGAGGTAAAAATACAACTTTTATATGTGGGGTCACATCAAGCACAGCTTGTGGATGAGTACGGGAATTATCAAGAATGAAGAGAGCCTTGAATGGAAGGTTCTTGCTGTGCAGGTAAAACTTGACTTCAGGAATAGTGATGCTTAAACCAGTCGATAAATATTTCCTTTGTCATCCATGCTGACTGGTTTGACCTCCAAATTACTGGTAAGGTGTTTATATCTACACCTTTCAAAGCACGAGGATTCTTAGAGCGACACTCCAAATTTTTCCCCCCTCCCGCAAACTGAACCGTGTTAAGTTAATTTTACGAAGTGTTGTATAAAATTGTGCCACAATTTTTCAATAGTGCAATAACCAAAACGTGCCAAATAAAACCATGTAATATAACATTCTACTATAGTTATATTTGACCTCTGTAATTCTGTCTCATTTTGCTACTAACAGGATGAGCTGCAGGTATATGATGACCTAGCTGTTCAGACAGCACAAAGTATTTGAACAGTCAACTTACCTCTAGGCATTTCTTTACTGCTAGGCGAACAGGGACAGTAAGTGATAGGAGACTTGCTCAGACATCTTACCTTGCCAAATTGAATGCAGATGGTAGAGATGGATATTGTGTACAGTATTTAGAGTGTTTCTTTCTGTTTTCAGTGTGTCTCGAGTTATTTACTAGTGTCGTATTGCACATTTATGTGTTTTTCATGCTATAGTGTATATGACACTGTATTTGACTTGCTAATCTATCATATAATTTCTTTCTCACATTTATAAAAAATAATTCAATAAGTGTTTTCTTGCAGAAATTGGTAATCAAGTTTTGTGAGACAAATGATATTCAGCTAGTCTTAACAGCAATGACTGAAAGGAAGAGCACTGTTATAAAAGCATTCAAGAAAAGTTCTATTTCAAAGGTATAGTATACTGTAGTACTTAATAACTGGTGTTTTATGTTATTTAATTAGGTGTATGTGCAGTCTAAAGTATGATTAGACTAGATTCAGTGACCTACAAAGCATCTACTTATACCAGCAGATAGTTTAATAGACCAAATTATAAAATACTCTTGACCCATTATTCACAAGTAACAGTGTAGTATGGAACATAGCAGATGTCAGACAAAAAAATTCAGATAATATTGCTGAAACTGAAGTCCAGTTTCACTAAAGAATATTCATTGGTCATCACTAAAGGTCCTAGCTGTTGTAAACAGTGTGGAAGACCCTTGAAGTGCTTACCTTGTATAACTTTGAAGAGTTTAAAGAGCTTTTCTATTCCCACAGCTGTACAACCCTTGTGGATTTAACAGATTTGATTGTAATAGTAACATTTTATTTCAGTATGATACAATGTTTGTGCAGAGATGGGTGACATTTAGGTGTGCATGTAGAAAGCCCATTTTTATGCAGATCATTTTAGGCATACTTAATCCTAGCTTAAGACTAAAATGGCAGTAGCTAATTGTTTGCTTGTATATGTATATGGTTTCTAAGGGGTCATAAACAATAAATCTGGGAATTATGAGGGCAAACAAGCATGTTAATACATTATTTAACATTTATCATATTTAACCCTTAAACTGTCCAAATGTAGATCTACGTTCACCTGAGTGGCGCTCCAAATGTTTTGAAAAATAAAAAAACATTTTTTGTTTTTAAATTAAAGAGGGCAATTTTCTGTGTGGTATAAGACCAAAAAAAAAAAATAAAATTTAGGACCAGTACTTACCAAGATATAAGACCACAAAGTTGGCTCTGGATGCTAACCTGACAGTAACATCCAGTCCTGCCACTTGCAGAAGTGTTGCCAATTTACCTTTTTTTCTCATTTTTATTTTAATTAATATAATTTTTATGTTCTGATAATTACAATTTATAATAGTTCTTGTGATTTCATAGCTAATCTTTGTTCTGACACTAATATTATGTACTGAAATATTACTCAAATTGTAACAATCACACTGACAGGTGATCATTTTCACCTGCCCTGGTCATTTACTATTGTCTAGAAATATATACAAAGTATTTATAGGTCCTAGCAACGTTTTAGACATGCTGGAGTATGAAACTCCTTGAAGAATGGTGTAATGACAAGCGTCAGATAACAAGTGACATTTGATGAATGTGTGCTGCTGGAGGAAGGAACCTTACCTTTATATGTTTTTACTCTTGCAAACAAACATGTCTCTGTATGTCTGTCTAATTGTACACCTATCTGTCTGTCTATCTGTACATCTGTCTGTCTATCTGTACATCTATCTATCTGTACATCTATCTGTCCATCTTCTGTCTGTCTAGCTCTGCTTATCTGTCTGTCTAGTTCTGCTTATCTGTCTTTCTGTCTGCCTGTGTGTGTCAGTCTTTCCATCTGCTTGTCTCTGTCTCAGGGAGTGGCTAATAAACCTGTTGGTTTGTGGTGTATGGGCCACTCCCTGATTGCTGAGCAAGTGACAATGCTATTATTTGCGTCATGTTTATTTATGTCTTATACATATCTACAAACACTGTATAGCACTTGGCCTGGAATTTTTGGGTTATCCTAGGTAATTTACATTATGTATAATAACTGTATTTATGAGTTATGCGAGAGACAGAGATATAGACAGAGACAGCCAAAGCCAGCCAGCCAGCCAAATACATAAGAACATAAGAAAGAAGGAATGCTGCAGCAGGCCTACTGGCCCATGGCAGGGCCATGTCACCCCCTGGCTTAGACCAATGACCCACCTAGTCAGGTCAAATCCACTGAAAGAAGGAGCACGACATCTGATCTAGTAGCGCAAGCTAATGAGGTCCAACTCACACCCGCTCGTGCATTTATCTAACCTATTTTCACTTTCCTCTTAAAATGTGAGTGTTAACCCTTTGAGGGTCCGTCCCGTAGATCTACGGCTTTACGTTCAGGGTCCAAACTGTAGATCTACGTCATGAGCTCAGCTCACTCTGATAAACTGTGAGTGGTACATTTGGGCCTAGATATGAGAGAATACATCTATGTGGTATGTGTGCACCACATAAAACAGATCCTGCAGCACGCTGTGTATAATGAGAGAAAACAACTGAGATCATGATTTTTCGATTAAAACAGCGACTTTGCAGTGTTTTTTCGTATGTTTTTTATAGTTCTGTTTGCGATTTCTTGGTCTCATTTGATAGAATGGAAGACATATTACAGAAATAGAGATGATTTTGATTGGTTTTAGCACTGGAAATGGCTTGAAACTGAGCTCAAAGTAGCAGAAATGTTAAATTTTTGCCGATATTCAAGAGTAAACAAACGACCTCACGTGTCTAATACACGCCAGCTGGTGGGTCTAATATGCATTCACAAATATGGTGATGATATTTATACAATTATTACAGTATTGCATAACAGTAAATCTTCTATTTTTTGGTGTGAATAAGAATTCATTATGTGAATAAAAAATCAAAATGGAATTTATTTTTAAAGCCTCAAAACATAACTAATGAACAGAGGAAATGTTAGTTTAGTGCCAGGAATACCTACATAGTTTATTCTGGACCCTATTTTGAAATTGGAATATTTTGAACTTTGTGTTAAATTGGCCAAACTAACAATTTCTGATCACCTTAATTTGTAGTTGAAACAGTTGACTTGACGATTTCTTGTTCTCAATCGATAGAATAGAAGTAATACTAGTGAAATTGCTAAGAATTTGGTTGACTGGAATAATGTAATTGGCCTAAAATGGGAGTCAAAGTCGGCAAAATCGCCGATTCGTAAATATCGCTGACACATCAAAATTCGCGAGAGCATAATTTCCTCAATTTTCCATCAAATTTCATACTTTTTGTTTTATTACCTTCACAAAAAGATTCTCTACCATTTCATAAGAAAAAATAACAAATTTTTTTTTTTTAAATTCTTGGACACTGGGGCACCACTTCAGAATTGGGCCTTGGACCCTGAAGGGGTTAATATGACATGACATCAGTGACTCACTGGTGTTTGCCACGCTATTTGCTATAGCTGGCACTCATTTGAACTGGTACTCCCACAAGGTACTAAGTGGTCCCTGATTTTTTTCATAGTGCGCACACTGAGTGCACAGACCCATTCTTTCATGTCTAGGCGAATCAGGCCTATTGCGCCAAATTTGAAGGAATGAGAAATAAAAGGTCGATAAATGTTCGGAGTGCTGCGCATGCGCACGTATATCTACGTGTGGACAGTTTAACCCTTTGACTGTCGCAACCCCCAATCCTGAGGTGTCTCCTGGTGTCGCAAAATTTAAAAAAAAAAAATTATTTTTTCCTGTGAAATGATAGAGAATCTTTTCCCGATTGTAATGACACCAAAAAAACGAAATTTGATGGAAAACTGACGGAATTATGCTCTCACGAAGTTAGCGACCTCAGCACTGTTTACAAATCAGCGATTTCGCCCACTTTGAGCCTTATTTTCAGCTAATTCCATTATTCCAGTCGCCCAGACTCATAGCTATTTCTTTAGAACTCTATTTTTTCTATCGATTGAGTACAAGAAACTGCCCATTTACCGATTTCAACTACCTAATAATGTGGTCAGAAATTTGCAATTTGGCCAATTTCACGAAAACTAAAAAATATGACAATTTCAAAATAAGGTCCAGAATGAACAATGCAGACATTCCTGGCTCTAAAATAACATTTTCTTTGCTCATCAGTCATGTCTCCAGGCCCCTCTAATATTACTCTTGCTTTCTATTTTGAATTTTTATTCAAACAAAAAATAGAAGACTTACTATTATGCAGACTACTGCAATACTGTAATAATTGTATAAATAACATCAACCCATTCATGACTGCATATTAGAATGGCTAGTTGGACATTTATTGGACAATGGCATCATTTGTTTACTTTTGAACATTGGCAAAAATCAAACATTTCCCCAACTTTGAGCTCCATTTCTAGGTTCTTTTTATAGTAAAATAAATCAAAATCACCCCTATTTCTATAATATGTTTTCCATTCTATCAAATGAGACCAAGAAAACGAGAATACAACAATAAATACTATACGAAAATAGACCACAAAGTCGGCATTTTAATTAAAAAAAACGGTCGGAGTTTTTTTTTTCTCATTATGCACTGCGTACTCCAGGATTTTTTTTATATGGTGCACACTGACCACACAGACCCATTCTCTCAAATGTGGGCCTACCAGCTTTCTCCTGCTTGATTTGAAGCCGCTAGAATTTATGAGTATATATACATCAAACACGGTACCTCGTAAGACATATATATACGGCCGCGACAGTCAAATGGTTAAGGGTTAATTGTTGTAGGGATTACAGGTTGGATTCTGATTGCAGGTAATAAACCATAAATTTGGGAATTACAAAGAGGGCAAACAAGCATATTAACACATTATTTAAATCATTTATCATATAGTGCACGTATATCTATGTGTGGACAGTTTAAGGATTAATTGTTGTAGGGATTACAGGTTGGATTCTGATTGCAGGTAATAAACCATAAATTTGGGAATTACAAAGAGGGCAAACAAGCATATTAACACATTATTTAAATCATTTATCATATAATGCTACTCCCAAAGCCCAACCCTGGGTACATGTTCCTTGTATTCCTGTACACTTGATTAAGAATAAGGTTGTGGTTAATTATCATAATTTAAGTTGGGATACTTAGTTTGTCAGAACGTTTTATGCTTGCAGTTGACTCATTTATCACAGTACATAGTTACGTTCCTGTAAACCACGTATAAATAAAAAAATGAGGCAAAAAGGAACTGAACAACATGTAGGAAAAATAAGGCTATGTTCCTCGGAACTCAAAAATACCCCCCCACTCCCCCCTCAATTTTTTTTAAGTCTCAATTTTAAAGAAAAAAAGTCATTGTAATTGGATGTAGTGAGGCATACACAATGAAAATCTTTTGCTTATCTTAAATTATGGTTACTAGTGTGCTGATACTGAAAAGCATGAGGAGGGATGTATTGGTCCTACTAGGCTGAGGTGGATAGTTGTGAATAATAGGCTGAGGTGGATGGCTGAGGTTCTTAGACTGATAGTGATGCAGAGTTGTCATTAGATGATGGTTGTATTGTAGTACCCAGGTATTCTGTAATGTATTTTTTGGTTTGTTTTACTATTCTGACAGTAAGGCATCATCATCTGCTTCAGACCCTGCTTCAGAGCATTGCTTGATGTGTCAGGGTCCTCATCAGTGAAAAAGTATGCAGTTTCACTAAGAGCTTAGGCAGTGAAGATGCCAAATACTAAACACATGCTGGTCATTGATTTTTTTAATGTGTAAGTATATATAGGTATCGCAAGTTAATTATAAAATTATTTTTATAATGAAGGATGCAACTGGGCAATATTTACTTCCCTCATATTAAATTCCATTTCATAATTACAAATCCTAGTCATTAGAATTTGAAAGCTTGTCTGTTAAAGAATCCAATTTGAGATATATTGAGAATATTGAGCTATCAGAGAAGGATTTTTAGCAGTGTTAATAATGACTTCTTGAGCTGGGATTTTCCAAAGCAAATAACCCTGGTTTTATTTTTTTTTTGGGGGGGGGGGAATCTGTTGGAATTGTAAAAGATTGATTTGGCTCAAGTGATTTAGCTAGGCTAAATCAGTCTTAAGACAGAATCATCAGTAAATCAGTTTATTTCATTAGTTAGGTACATTGCTTGCTCTAAATGCTCTGCATAACTATGAGCTTTCTGTAATCACAACCAATTGTCACCCATCTGTGTACAAACATTGTATCATGCTGAAATAAATCTTTGTCTTTATCTATTTTGCAGCTTCTTTAAGTCAAATTTCAACTACATAAGAGATTACGTAACCTTACCATGCCACCATGACTCACAGTGGCTTAAAAAAAATTAAATAAATGCCCTGAAGAGAGGTGAGGGGTACCTTTATGCCAGTAAAAAGTTCTTCATCCAAGGAATGGGAGCTGCTCTCCCTCTCAAATTGAATCTGATTCCTCTGATTCCCCTGGTCACTGTACAGTATAATCCTTAATAACCTTCAGATGAAGTGGTGACTCCTAGGCACTCTAGTGGTGGATAACATAGCACCCCTCAGGAGAGTGTTGTCTCTCAAGTGTTTCTTTAGGTGGTAACACCAGAACGCTTTCCTATTTTCTGTTTTTCTCCTTATTTTTTCCCCTCAGTTGCAACTTGATAATAGTCTGCTCGCTTTATGCAGGTTTAATTTGAGAATTTACTGTTATTTGATGTCTTATATATGTATCAGTAATAATGGTTATGTGATAAACCTTTGCCCTATGCAATTGGTGCAGTTCACTAAATGCATGAAGATTCTTATGCAAAATTAAGCGCTGATGGCCTGATTGCTGCTGCCATGGGCCTGGAGTATACAATATATACTATACTACATAAAGCAAAGGCAATCTGTACATAGTATATACCATGAAAATTACAGTTTTTGAAACATTGTTTTTCTTCCATGAAAAGTAGAGGGGCCCAGAGAACTACATTCATCATTACTGAATGTTCTCTAGCTGCCTTTCCAAAAGAACACTGCCATTTAATGCACATGACTTACTGAACTGCAACTTATCCTACTTCATCCTTTAGAGTTCAGACATTATAATTCCTTCCTCCAAATTAAGTCTGGCTTGTTGGTTTCCCCTGAATAAATAATGGAAGAGAGGGGTAGGAAAGGAGAAGGTAGACTTGCATATTGGAGAGATATCTGCTTTCATTAAAATTTGCTGTGACTTGGCCTATGATTTGGAGTGAATTATGGATATGGTTTTTACAGTGACTAATGGATATAGGATAGTTTTGATTACTGTATATTATCAGAAATAAACACTAATTATACTAATGCAGTAGTAACTTGTTAAGATTGCTGAAAATTGGTAATAATGGCTACAATATGATAAACATATTAGCTACTTTTTATTCTAAAAGCATTGAATATAATTCTGGTGCTTTGTACATCATTCTACTCAACTACATTCTAGATCCTTTTTTTGTATCATTTCAAGATAACCTGCTCTAATTTTATACATATTTGTCTTTTACTCTTTAAGGTAAAAATCATCACGGTTCATAGCAATGATGTAGCTTCTCTCACTTCACGACATCCGGTTGGTATTGTGATAGCAGAAAGAAGAAATCCACAGCAAGTATCTAGTTCTGGGAAGGAGCCAAGACCAGTGTTTATACCTGGATGTCCTCTTCCTCAAGTTCTTCCTCCACAACATCAAGCTGCTACTCACTACTCAATAAAAGATAAATCTAAAGCAAATTCACATACTCAAATTTACAGGCCAGGGAAGTATGTAAAACACAAACAAGTGAGTAAACTTCCCAAAAATGTGGCCTTTAATATTGACCATGATGTTGAAATAGACAGAGTGTATGATCCCCAAAATTATGTAACATCTCAAGAGTCAGAATTTTTAAGACAGTCACACACTCAGCAGCCAAACCCTGAAAATACAGTGTATACTGGTGAAGAAAGAGCCACTACAACCCTTCTTAGTGGTTCTCCTCATTATGTTCTTGTTTCTCAAAGAAAGAGAGATGAAGCTGACCTGGATTCTTGTAATTTTTTAATGGACGGCAGTATTTCATTAGAAAGTCATTCAGAAAATTCAGGTATGCTATCAGGTTCAGACGATACAAATTCATGTGAAGATGCAACAATTTCATGCAATTTTAGTAGAAAATCTGACGTGAATAATTTTAGTAAAGATTACGTTAAGTCTCGTTTTTTTAAAAGTGCTGGTGAAATGAGTTTGTCTGATACACTGATTACTGATTATACAATTTCTCCAGAAGCTTCCAGTGTTACTTCAAATGAAGAAATGTTAACACCTAACAGCTTGACCAGTGCACCACTTTCAACAGGAATTACTCAAGTTTTTCCGGTAAAGCGTGGATGTTTACATATCCGTCAAAAACCTCATCAGGGCTCGCATATCAAATATATAAAGCCTCAGGGAAAGTGAAAGTAGAATATTATCAAGGTGAAGTGAAAAATATGCTCAGAATTAATTAAAATAAAAGAGATAAGTGACAAATCCTAGGTATTAGGTTGGTAGACAGCAGCTGTCCAGGGAGGTACTACTGTCCTGCCAAGTGAGTGTAAAACAAAAGCCTGTACATAATTGTCCTCTTCAAGGGGGGCTCCTTGGCGTGGTGAAGAGGCTCTTGGTCTGAGGAATTAGCCCTGTCGGTCTTCTTCCTCAGACCGAACCTAATTACCCCCCATTCTCCCCTCCCCTATCCCATCCTCCCCATCCTCCCCTTTTTCCATTCCTCCTCCTCCTCCTCACCCCTCCCTTTTGCCCTTCCTCTTTTTAGCCTTCGTGATTTCTCCCACAGGCGCGCTAGTTCCTAGGTAGGGGAAAGGACACCGGGGTCCATCCCATTCCGTTGAGGTTTCTTGGCGGTGGCGTAGTTTGCCGTGGAATCTGGATTGCCTAGGGATGTCCCGATCCCTCTCCGGTATCCCGGAGTAGCTTTGGGTGTCTTTTGGGCGACGGGTGTATCTCTGGAAGCCACCTTTCGGATTCCGGGGGGGTGGTGGCTGAAGAAGGTATGCTTTGTGGCGGATATCCGGCCGCCCTCTCTTTTGTCCACCGAGGTAGCTCGGCAGATGTGAGGTTGCTATCCCAGATTGCTGGTTTACTGGCATGAAGGGTAGGGTATGGCACGGGTTCCATGCTGCATCTGCGCTACTAGCGGTGTCGAGTCCTCTTGGGCGCGGAGGGAGATTTCTGGCCCTTTCATTCCTCCTAGGAACTATCCTCCCGGTCCCCCTTTTTTTTTCTTTTTTTTATTTTTTATTTTCTTTTCTTCTTTCTTTTTTTTTCTTAAAAACAAAAAGAAAGAAGTAACTAACCATGGCAGCCCTAGTCCATGAACTGGTACCCCCGGGCCCCTTCTTGATACCGCACCCCGTTCTGACCCCGCCTCGTCTTTGGACCACTCTTCAGACATTCCTCATGCTCTGTACCTATTGCCGGTGCTGTTTCCTCACCCGCTTCAGGTACTGAGGCCTCGACTGACTCCTTCGATTTATCAGACCTTCGCTCTCCTCTGACTATGCTTCGGCCTCTCCTCTACGGTGCGGCAATTTTCAAATCGCCGACCCGTTCCACGTCGGACCAACTCTGGTCCACGCCTAAACGTCAACGACAATTACCTGCTGATGATACTTCTCCACCTTCACCTTCTCGTTCTTCTCAGAAACGATCGACACGTCCTTCACTACCTTTCCACGCTCAGTTTCAGACTGAACAGTGGACTAAATTCTTCACTTTACGACCAACTTCCTCTACTGCCTATCTTTCTGACCTTAGTATTGGCAAGGCACTCCTACGCCATGTTGGTAAAGATATTTCTTTTCATGCTCTTAAGAGCGGTACGCGCATCATTACCGTACAGAATGCTACCCAGGCTCGTGAGCTCTCTCGTCTTTCCCATATAGATACTGTTCCTGTCACCCTTGAAAAACATCATTCCCTCAATTCTTGTAGTGGTACCGTTATTCTGCCCCATACCATAGTTCAACAAAAATTTCCACATGTGGCACCGACATTCTAGAACAGCTGTAACTCCAAGATCTCCCAATCCTCAGGGTAGACACTTACGTTCTTCCTGCCCGTGGGCGGAGACGATACCCTAGCAATGTGGCTCGTTTAACTTTTGACAGCCGAGAACTCCCATCTCCGTTTATATTAGCAGGACATCGGTTACAAGTTCGAAAGGTGATCCCTACACCACAACAGTGTAGAAATTGCTGGCGATTTGGCCATCCAGCGAAATATTGCAGATCTATCGCCGAATGCCCAGTCTGTGGTGCCGATGACCATTCTAATACATCTTGCAATCGATCTCCCTCTTGCCTTAACTGTCATGAGGCTCACCCTTCGTACTCTCGCCATTGTCAGGTCTATTTAAACGAGCGGGAAATCCGTTACCTCAAAGAGACAGAAGGTCTCCCTTATGCCATGGCAGTTTCTCATCTCCGCCTCCAAGGGAGACTCCCACGTGTTTCTTATTCCCGTGTTTCAAAACGTCCCCCCACTTCTGGTATCCCATCTTCTACACCCACCTCTGTGGTTACCTCTCCCATAGTCAATCCTGTATCTAATCCTTTTGCTGTCCTCGGCTCAGACGTCCCTACTTCAACGCCTCAGTCTAATCTCGCTTCTTCGAGTTCTCTCTTACAAGCCTCAGTATCGACGAGACCTCGTACGACACCTCTTCCCAATCGTCCCTCTACTTCTCAAAAGTCAAAAAAAGGTCCGGTAACACCTCCTACCCATCTTCCACCTCCTCATTTTACCCTCCCTGTCTCTGTCCCTAGTTCTTCCCCTCTCACTGGCTCAGTTACAAGTGCAGAGGTTCACCCTCCTCCTCGTAATGTACCTTCCTCCCCTGTTCCCTCCCAAGTTTCTTCCTCTTCTGCCCTCCCAGGTTCCTGTCTCTTCTGTCCCCTGCCACGCTTCTCCAGTTCCCTCCACCCTTTCGCCCCCCCTACCTTGGTACAGTCCAATACAGTTCCAATCTTTACTCATCCTCCCCCTACCATTCCCAATATTGTCTCCCATACGACATCTCTGAATTCCGAAACACTTGAAGCAATCTCTGAATATATGCAGAGACCAAACCATCAATGGACACTGATCCACCTTCCGCTCTTTCTCTCTCCTCTGCTCCATCTGCGCAACTCCTTTCTTCACAGCGCACCGTTCCTTCGCTGCTTGAACATTTTCCACTGCCTCCGCATGTGGACTTTTCTAACCCTTCTAGTCCGTAGGAACCCTTACCTGCGGATTTCAAGTATCTTTATCATTGCCAATTATGGCCTTTTTACAGTGGAATATACGCGGCCTCAGGGGTAATCGGGGTGAGCTTCAGATGTTACTCTCCCAGTTTGCCCCTGTTGGTGTTTGCTTACAGGAGCCAAAATTACACTCTGCTGTTATTTCTCACATCTCAGGCTATAATTTATTGTATTCTTCAGATCCTTTTCCTGATGGGACCTTTAATGAAAGTGCCCTTCTTCTCCGCACTGATATTCCGTACCATCAGCTATTTATTCATACTTCGCTGCATTACACAGCAGCCCGTATCCACTTACATAGGTGGTATACGCTCTGTTCTTTATATCTCTCTCCTTCTCGGGCATTATCTATTCCGGATTTTGCCTTCCTTGTTTCGTCATTACCGCCACCGATTCTGTTACTTGGTGATTTTAATGCCCACCATTTCCTCTGGGGAGGGTCTCACTGTGATTCCCGTGGAATTCAGTTAGAGGCTTTTCTTGCCACCCACCCCCTCCATGTTTTAAATACAGGTACTCACACCCATTTTGATCCTCGGACTCATACTCTCTCTTGCATCGATCTCTCAGTTTGCTCTTCCTCGCCGCATTAGACTTTACTTGGTCTGTTCTCCCGGACTTACATGACAGTGATCATTCCCAATCATTCTTACTTCCCCTTCATATTCGCCACCTCTTCGCACCCACGCTGGCAATTTAATCGGGCAAATTGGAACCTTTACTCACCACTGACTGTTTTTTAAAGAGGTTCCTTCTTCGTCCTCCATCGATGAGCTTTTACACCTCTTCTCGTCCTCCGTTTTCACCGCAGCTTCTCATTCTATACCCCAAACTTCGGGCAGGCATTCTCAGAAATGCGTTGCCTTGGTGGTCTCCTGCTTGTGCTCGTGCAGTACGTTTGAAACGCGCTGCATGGGGCAGGTACCGGTACAATAGAACCACAGAGCGACTCCTTGATTTTAAACAGAAGCGTGCGATTGCTCGCCGTGTCATCCGTGACGCTAAACGCACTTGCTGGCGAGATTATGTTCCACCATCACCTCTGCTTCCTCTATGAGTGCAGTCTGGAAAAAAGTACGAAAACTGAGTGGTAAATATTCTCCTGACCCGGCTCCTGTTCTGCGGGTTGCCGGTGTTGATATAGCAAACCCACTAGATGTTGCCAATGAAATTGGCAATCATCTGGTCCGTATTTCTCAGGGACTCCATCTATGCCCTCATTTCTTTCCTCAAAGTCTGCAGAGAGTTAGCACCCTTGGACTTTTCTTCTCTCTCAGAGAAGAACAGTATAATGTGCCTTTTTACACTTCAAGAACTGGAGGCAACACTCTCAGCTTGTCGATCATCGGCAGCTGGGCCCGACGACATTCATATTCGTATGCTACAACATTTACATCAGTCAGCCCTTGCAGTCCTATTACGCCTTTACAATCTTATTTTGGTCACAAGGAGTTCTTCCACAGCTGTGGAAATCCGCCATTGTTCTCCCTTTCCGCAAACCAGGCACTACGGGACATGAAACCTCCCACTATCGTCCCATTGCTCTTACCAGTGCAGTTTGCAAAGTAATGGAACGTCTAGTAAATAGACGTTTAGTGTGGTATTTAGAGACACACAACAGTCTCTCCACTCGTCAATATGGCTTTCGTAAGGGACGTTCTACCATAGACCCCTTACTGCGCTTGGATACGTATGTTCGTAATGCCTTTGCGAATAACCACTCAGTTATTGCCATATTTTTTGACCTTGAGAAGGCATATGACACAAACTTGGAGGTATAATATTTTAGCCCAAGCCCACTCCTTAGGCCTTCGAGGCAATCTACCATCCTTCCTTAAGAACTTTTTAACTGACAGGCATTTCCGTGTTCGGGTTAATAATGTGCTCTCCCCGGACTTTATCCAAGCTGAAGGTGTCCCCCAGGGATGTGTTCTGAGCACAACACTTTTTCTCCTTGCTATTAATGATTTGGCCTCTAGTCTTCCATCAAATATTTGGTCATCACTCTATGTTGATGACTTCGCTATTGCCTGTGCAGGCGCTGACTGTCACCTCCTTACAGTTTCTCTCCAGCATGCAGTCGACCATGTTTCCAATTGGGCCACCACACATGGGTTTAAATTTTCCAGCACTAAAACCCACCAAATCACTTTCACTAGACGCTCTGTCATCTCTGATCATCCTTTGTACCTCTATGGCTCACGTATCCCTGAACGTGATACAGTCAAGTTTCTGGGCCTCCTCTTTGATCGTAGGTTATCCTGGAAACCTCACATTACCTCTCTGAAGGCAACTTGTCACAGCCGGCTGAACCTT